TTTCAGCCCTGAGTTTGATTATTTCCTGCCTTCTACTCCTCCTGGGTGTATTTGCTTCTTTTTGTTCTAGAGCTTTTAGTTGTGCAGTCAACTTGTTAGTGTGTGCTCTTTCCAGTTTCTTTTTGTAGGCACTTAGAGCTATGAGCTTTCCTCTTAGCACTGCCTTCATGGAGTCCCACAAGTTTTGGTATGATGTGTCCTCATTTTCATTGAATTCTAAAAAGTCTTTTATTTCTTTCTTTATTTCTTCTTTGACCAAGTCATCATTGAGTAGAGAGTTGTTCAGTTTCCATGTGTACGTGGGTTTTCCATTGTTTTTGTCATTATTAAAGACCAGTCTTAGTCCGTGGTGATCTGATAAGATGCAAGGGATTATTTCAATCTTTTTGTATCTGTAGAGGCTTGTTTTGTGACCAATTATATGGTCTATTTTGGAGAAGGTACCATGAGGTGCTGAGAAAAAGGTATATTCTTTTGTTTTAGGATGAAATGTTCTATAGATGTCTGTTAAGTCCATTTGGTTCATAACTTCTGTTAATTTCAAAGTGTCTCTGTTTAGTTTCTGTTTCCATGATCTGTCCATTGCTGACAGTGGGGTGTTGAAATCCCCCACTATTATTGTGTGAGGTGTAATGTGTGTTTTGAGCTTTAGTAAAGTTTCTTTTATGTATGTAGGTGCCCTTGCATTTGGAGCATAGATGTTCAGAATTGAGAGTTCACCTTGGTAGATTTTTCCTTTGATGAGTATGAAGTGTCCTTCCTTATCTTTTTTGATTAATTTTGGATGAAAGTCGATTTTATTTGATATTAGAATGGCTACTCCAGCTTGTTTCTTGGGACCATTGGCTTGAAAAATTGTTTTCCACCCTTTTATTCTGAGGTAGTGTCTGTCTTTGTCACTGAGGTGCGTTTCTTGTATGCAGCAAAATTCTGGGTCTTGTTTGTGTATCCAGTCTGATAGTCTGCGTCTTTTTATTGGGGAATTGAGACCATTGATGTTAAGAGATATTAAGGAAAAATGATTGTTGCTTCCTGTTATTTTTTTTATTAGAGGTAAAGTTATGTTTGTATCTTTTTTGGGGGTTGTTGGAAGATTACTTACTTGCTTTTCCTAGGTTGTAGTTTCCCTCCTTGTGTTGGCATTTTCCATCAATTATCCTTTGAAGTGCTGGGTTTGTGGGAAGATATTGTGCAAATTTGGTTTTGTCATGGAATATCTTGGTTTCACCATCTATAGTGATTGAGAGTTTTGCTGGGTATAGTAATCTGGGCTGGCAATTGTGTTCTCTTAGTGTCTGTATGATGTCAGTCCAGGCTCTTCTGGCTTTTATAGTCTCTGGTGAGAAGTCTGGTGTAATTCTTATAGGTCTGCCTTTATATGTTACTTGACATTTTCCCTTACTGCTTTTAGTATTTTTTCTTTGTTTTGTGCATCTGATGTTTTGATTATTATGTGACGGGAGGTATTTCTTTTCTGGTCTAGTCTATTTGGTGTTCTGTAGGCTTCTTGTATGTTTATGGGCATCTTGTTCTTTAGGTTAGGGAAGTTTTCCTCAATAATTTTGTTGAAGATATTTACTGGCTCTTTAAGTTGGGAATCTTCATTCTCATCTATACCTATTATCCTTAGGTTTGGTCTTCTCATTGTGTCCTGGATTTCCTGGATGTTTTGAGTTAGGAGTTTTTTGCATTTTGCACTTTCTTTGACAACTGTGTCAATATTTTCCACCGTATCTTCTGCATTTGAGATTCTCTCTTCTATCTCTTGTATTCGGTTGGTGATGCTTGCGTCTGTGACTCCTGATCTCTTTCTTAGGTTTTCTATCTCCATGGTTGTCTCCCTTTGAACTTTCTTTATTGTTTCTATTTCTAGTTTCAGATCCTGAATGTTTTTGTTTAATTCCTTCTTTGTGTTTTCTTCCATTTCTTTAAGGGATTTCTGTGATTCCTCTTTAAGGGCTTCTATCTGTTTACTTGTACTCTCCTGTATTTCTTTAAGGGAGTTACTTAATTCCTTCTTATAATCCTCTATCATCATCATGAGAAGTGATTTTAATTCTGAATCCTGCTTTTCAGGTGTGATGGGGTGTTCAGGGCTTGCTATATTGGGAGAATTGGGCACTGATGATGCCAAGAAACTTTGGTTTCCGTTGCTTATGTTCTTGCGCTTGCCTTTCGCCATCTGGTTAACTCTAGTGGTACCTGCCCTCACTGTGTAAAACTGGAGTCTGTATTTCCAGTTATCTTGCTTATTGCAGAGCTCCTCAGAGTCCAGAAGTCTCTGTGGTCTTATGCTCCTAATCTCCTGGGTGGAATAACTCCTGGGACTCAGGCCACCTCTTGGATCTGGAAATCCTTCTGCTCTGAGTGCAGTGGGTCCTCGATGACTCAGGATTCAGTTTCAGCTGCTCTGAGTGCAGTGGCTCCAGCTGCTCTGAGTGCAGTGGCTCCTGGATGACTCAGGATTCAGTT